TTCAAGAGCTTCTACTGTGAATGGCTGTTGAATTATGTACCTTACAAGATCAGCAATGTATGCGAAATATTCTTGAAAGGGACAAGGCTGTGTTTATAACGCATGAAAATCACACTTTTTTTGAAAGCAGGGCTGGGAAAAAAACAGGTTAATTAGATTATATTATTTGAAGATTTGCATTGGAAGACAGTGCATAGGCCTCATTGGTTTTTTTCCCTGACTCTCAAGGAGTCCGAACATTACTCAGATTTCTATCTGCAGAGATACATTGAGGTCATCAGCAATGCCACAGACATAATTTATGAGCAGAAAGGCAAGTATGAACTCATACACAAACAACTTATTCGTCTAAGAACTGCTAAACTAGAGGCAAATAATATTCATGCGGTACATGCATAGGAATCTAGGGATCCTCAAGTATATATTTTTTATTTTGTTCCAATTTCTGTTTACATTTGCGAACGTTTCTCGATAGGGATTTTATTTTTGCCATATTCAAATAAATCAGCACAAACAATTAGAACGTTTAATCGTTTCTAGTACTAAATTTTCTGCACCCATTCGTTTATTGCAGACCAAGAAGTTGAAAGGTTACCGAGTTTTGTGCACTATACAAACAAAGGTACGGGCATTGGTTAATGGCGGCGTTGGCCCGGTCCGTAGGATTTACGTTTAATTTGCTTTGTCTTCTTTGTTTTTACGAATGGTTTGGGCAACGTTAAGTGTTCGGTACTGCGATAAATTTCTGGTAGTTGAAATAACTCGGGTTAATGCAAGCCGTAGCCAAGGCTGGACGGGTTGGTGTTCGAAGTCCAGTGAAATTTTTTTGGTGCTTGCAGCCCGAATGCCTGCTTTAATATGTCTGCTGACAGATTGTGAAACTGCCGAAATTACTCAGCCTAAGTTTCATCTGTCTTCATAAAACATCATCAGAGACATTTCAAATTTGAGCTCCTTGTATGTCGAAAACGAAGCGTTTTCCAAAACATGTTTATTGAAGCTTTATTTGTTATTTGGAGGAGTTTCATCACGTGGTAAAGTTTAGCGCATGGAGGACACCCTATATAGATTGGGTAGCTTCCATTTGGGAAAACAATTGATAATCGCCTGCCATTGAAATAGGCCTTGACAAAGAATTGATAATTTCCGCTGAAAAAATCTCGTAAAACGTATCGGTATAGCTCAAAAACTAAAGTATACTTATTCACTTTAACTTCTACTACTTGACGATTTGTCTCCAGTGGGTCAAGAGCACGATCGGCATGCGCTCGAAATCGAGATCATCGAGTGCCAATTACCGTACTCAAGATCTTGTTACAATCTAGGTGATTCGACGAACAGAAGAATTCTCCTTTTTTAGACGAACCCTCGTAGACGATGACGCTTCATTCTGAGAGGTATGGATAATGGGATGACTATTTATTTCAGAAAATGTTAGATCTTACAATGCCAGTTATTACGTACTCATTTGGCTACAACTAACAAATGTTTGTGTACATTGAACAGAGAGGAAACAATATTTTACTTCTTCTTCAAATTATATGTATTGAAATACCTGTGTCATGTAGAATACTTATAACAAACGTTTACTATAGCATTAACATCAAAGCGACCAGAAACCAAATTATTATACTTTTTTCATTTTTCAAGATTTATTAGTATTATATACAATAATACTTTTGACTATGTGCAAGATCCTACTCAAATAATTTCATTGCATTTGATGTAACTTGCAAATCATTTCACTAACTACTGAAATTTCAAATATTTGAAAAACTAATCATGTTAGCTTTGATTTTTTAGAAGCATAATGTTGGTCCCCTGATTGCGCAACTTGGTCCTTATTTAAGCTAGTTCGTATCTCTTACGGTTTCCGAAATCCCTACAGCGAAATGCGAATTTGTAAAAGTCTGTAGAGTAAAAATTTCACAATTCGTTTTGGACAGGAATTGATACACTATTGAGTGTGGTTTGAGTAAAATTCGCTCTATTTTTGTATCAATTTAGTTTTAAATTCAAAGTGTTGTATTGTTGTATTATTGATAACCTAAGTTTCCATTTTTTCTTTAAAGTAGTATAGTATAAACAGTAGTAAATTTAAAAGTAACTTTCAAGTTAAAAAGTATGTAGTTTGTATGAATTTCTATGGTTCTATGACGCACGGAGAGAACTACTATCATATTTACAATGACAGTTCTATATTTGAGCTCTACTTCTTTAAATCAATATTATAGTTATCTTTCAAGCAATGGAACATTTCAATTTCATATGAAAACAAATATTTGATTATAATACTATGGACATGTGAAGACTACTACAAATATGTATATGCTTATCTTAATATTAGAGCTAATAATGAGACTAATGAGATAAGGGATTCAATGAATGAAAAATTTATTACAGTTTTGACACCCACAACACGGTACAATGATTGGAATGTTAGTATTTGCTATTTAGACTGTTTCCTAAACCAAAAATTGGTGAAATTTTAACCATCCCGTACATATTCTTTTTCAGCTATTCGAGTTTTAAACAAAATGTAAATTAAAACGTAAATTTTATTCTACGCAAATTGCCTTATATTTTCCCGTGGCTTAACAGATATAAAAACATGCCGATTCATCACCATATAAAAAAAAAGTTTCCAAATCCCACTCCAAGTAAAATATGTTACCCTCTTTAGTATTTCCTTTTTAATTATGAATAATATAAGCTTTCATCATCATCCACCTCGACAAGTAGGCGTATCAGAGCGTTTTTGTAATTGAATTTTATTTTTGCCCTGCCGAAATATGTTAATTTGTTTAAAAAACAGGTAAAAACATTAATCCCATTAGGATGTTACTTAAAACGAAAAATAATTTAAATTTAAATATACGGCACAATTAACATTAATCAGCAGCGAAGAGCTTATCAAAACAAAATATTTTTACCATCATGAGTATCTCAATCCCAATCGCCATTTTCTCTGTAACGGAAAGAGATATTTTAGTTTTGTAAACATGATTTGATAGACTTGCCAAGTAGCTTCAATTTTGCTATGTAACTGGTAACACAAGCCCATAGATGGCGTTGTGGTGCCAAAGCATACTTCCAGGTTCCTATGATCGAAGAATTTTTGATGCTACAATGCCGTCCCTGTGATAGTACTGATAGTAAAAGTTATAGTGTAGAATTGAGCAGGTTTACCAGAAATCAAATGTCTCTTGGGTAAAGAGCGATAATCCCTCTCGACACCGTTCCATCCAAGGTCGTATATCCAACCAAAGATATTGGCGCCAAATGTCTCTATTCCAGAGAAAATGGTGACAAGAGTTTTTATTGACATCTACTGAATACAGGAGTTTTAAAGTCATAATAGTTCTTCAAACCATCATGTAAATTTATAGTTTCTTTGCGAAAACTTTAAATAATGTGGGTACCATCAAAGTAAGCTTTCCATTCATCTATTTCCTTGTATTATCCTTTAACAAAGTCTCCCGATTGCCAATTTAATTTAATTCTCACGAATTATGTTTGCAGCTGTGCAGGTTTCAGTATGCGAATGCATTGTCAGAAAATTTGTTCAACTGCACTCTCATTAATTGAAAACCCTGCCCTGCTGCCATAACCCAGAAAAACTATTAGCTGTATCTAGAGAGCCGTGCAATGAAACGAATATATTGCCGCTTTGAAAGTAATCTAAATGGTAATGATGTTTTTTGTCAACTCTTACAGAAAAAAAAGGAGGAGGTATCTCGAAATTGGGGCTTAAATAAATGTTTAACTTCCAAATTGAATCAATTACCTTGAATAATTGCTGGGTTTTATTGCTTGTTTGTGGATGGTTATTTTTTTAATCAATATTTACGTACTTTATTTTTAATATATGTAGAAGTTTCCTTCCATTTAATTTTAGAACTCTGTAAATTTTTAATTAAATTTATTTTTCTCATTCGTCGCACATAAAAAATTTGTACTAATTATGAAAAAGATATGGACATATTTCATAGAATATAAGAAGCTCTTTGTGATATTCAACAATAACAAAAATAGTGTATAAGGGTATCCTAATTTTACCTATGAAGGAATTTTAATAGTGATTCAATATACAGGGTCGGAAAGTCCCCATGGTTCATCGGCCGTTACGTGAGAGCGATAAAGTAAGTCATAGAAATCCTTGCGGTAGAGAAGTATGGCTATAATGAAGGCGTCTAATAGTCACCGCCCATTTCGCCCTTCCACAAATAAGATCCACTTCCACTTGTAATTCAGCGACCGGTGGTCATCATTGTTTTCGTCGTTTGGCTTTTCCTTAATAGATGTCACTACATATGCAATTCCGACTTCGTATTCCGATATGTTAATACCATCCGTTAACAGAGGGCAGTCCTAGAAAGAGTGATGCCAGATCTACAGATTTTTTTTTGGAATTGGGGAAATAGGGAATATTGCTTTATTTCTTGCGATTTTTAAGTCATTTTAAAAAGTATACTTAAATAACAACTAAATGAACTTTAAATGCAACTGAGCACTATACTCCATTTGAATAACTTCTCAGTAGGGGAAACAGGGTCACTAGATTTACAAACAGAGGTATCTACTAGCTACTGTAAAAAGTTTTCTTTGTTACGCGTTGTGCGGAACATTAATCACAATTTTCACCAGAATAACACTGTTTATAGTCACCTTGCACACGTCCATAATCTAGACACTATACGACATTACTAATTATTTACAGTGTAGGAAAGAAAGGTTATTGTTTTAAAAAGTACCAAAGATATCATCTTTTTCAATTCGCCGGCTTCAGTTTTCATCTTTGCATCCCCCCGTCCTTCGCCGATCCTTCTCGAAATATAATCGCAGAGCCCCTTGACATCTGAATATTATCCATTGTTCCTCATCCCTTTCCGTCGAGCGACGTCACGTCGCCACCGTCCTACCCCGCTCCCCCTCCCCTGCTGAAGCCGGTCCCCCATGAACTTTCAGCTGATTGATGTAGACGTATTGCTTGGTTTCAGGATCGATTGGGAATTCCAACGTTTACATGGCTGTCACTGTTTATCCTAACGTTAAGCTGGATTGGTGAGTATTAGTAGCAATTTTGCCCAACAGAACAATTTGCATTCCCTCTTCCAACTTTCAATGGGGCGTCCCACTTGAGCGAAACAGTTTAAATGCTTTTTTGAGTCGGTTTATGAGTGATAGCGGGTTGTGGCGTTTGGAAGCTGACCCCAAACGTACAGGATGGGACGTAGCTTAGTGTGGGATTACCAAGGTCAAAATGGGGTCATTGAATCAATCGTGTCTCGGTCAAATTTCCATTTCAATTTGCAGGATAGCAAAATTTAAAAGGAGTTTCAGAAATTTGGTAATACTTGCAAACTGTTTTAAGTAAAATACGTTTCATATTTATCAATTTTGGATCCAAGACATTAGCTACCTTATAGGAATTGCTCACAAAATTGGATACAGTAGAATTGGTTCTGATTTATTGGCCAATTTTGATAATTTTTAATTAATATTTTGAATATTTCTTAATATTAGTTAATTTTGACATTTGATATTTTATTTTAAATATAGGGTGTTTAGAATCTTGGAGAGAATATTTGAAGAGTGAATAAATCGAAAAAGGCCAAACATGTTTTTACAAATAGTGATTTTGATTTATCACTGTGGTACCAGAAAACAGTTTTGGAAAGCTGACAACTGTTAACCGCTTACAAGTATTTACAGTATTTCTTTGCAAATAGTTATTTTTATTTGCCATGATGATACCAGAAAACAGTTTTGGAGCCGCTGACAACTGTTAGCCGTCTACAAGTATTTACAGAAATCGATGTAATTACATGAAAATATGCAATTAATTCCTTGTTAATCTAAAGATGGAACATTTTAGTATATTTATTCGTACATTACACCACACACACACGCGCAACAGGCGTCTTATCTCTCACAAAAAGAAAACACAGTTAAGGTAACAATCCGAAATAATATCCGAATTCACTCAAACAAATGTATGCACTAATAATTTTACTAAAAAATAAGACAAGAAAACGGAAACAAGTATTTCCACTGTTTTATGTAGGACACGATGTCAGAGGTTCCCAATAAGTTTTAACAAATTTAATTATAGACAGTACTATTCTAATTGACTTATTTATGTCAGAATAAAAGGAAAAAGTCTAAAGTCTAAATTCTGTATTTATGTACAATGCCACCGGTTTGGCGAACAACAAATTGCTTCACATCTTTCAACCTGAATTTATATTGAAAAATATTTTTTATCGAGAATAGTCAAGTAATTTTGTGAGGTTAGACTAATTTTAAATATTATTAATATTAAGCACTGTTATATTTTTAACGATTCTGATTATTGTTAATGCATTCTACTTACCAAAAAAAAAGTCGTCTTCTATTTTACAAACGTCCTGTATATGTACTCACTAATTATTAAACTTTTTGCGGAAAATAAAACCTAATTATTTAAACTAATGTAGAGACTAGAACTTCAGGAAAGATATGCAGGGAAAATTTTTCAGATGTGACAAGTGAATAACAATTTTCTTCTTAGTCTCTTCGTTTTTTAATTTATTTTTTAAATTTTGAATTGAGCGACCGGTAATTAAACAAAACTGAAGTACAATTAGCAATTTTCCTGTTTACTACAAAAAACAGAAGAAGAGAACAGACGATCCCTTTGTACCTCTTTTTATGTAAAGACAATTCCAGACGTTCTCAATAAGTTTTCATTGTTATTAATTTTAAATGTCGTTTGGAAGTTTCATCATTATTAATGCAATGTACAATCATCTCCAAGTTTATAAAGACCCTATATTTGAATAGAACATGCACATGTTTGATGTTGGTATAATTTATAAGCCTTTTATGGTATGTAACCACAAATATACAGAAATGTGGCAATTTATTGAGCAATTCATTGATTCATTTATTAGGTCAAAAATTGATATATGGAATATTGACTGAAATAAGTTTTTTTTTTTAATATAAAAAAGCACATTTAACTCAACCGTCTTAAAGTACAATGGTTGTTACGCCGTGACCTATGTACAGGGTGATTATCTTTTGTACTCTCTATCTAGGAGAAAATGGTAAAGGTTAGAGTTGTAGGAAATTTTGTTACGATATCAGAAATAGGTATATGAAAAACAATTGATAGTTGAATTTAGAAGATATAAACCGAACTTTTAGTTTTTTATTTAAATGAATCACCCTGTATGTTTGTTACTTATTGGAATCTTCTAATTTCTGTATTCCAATGATATAAGTTGTTGTTCTCGGGCTACACTCTGTGGGGGTGGACTCGTTATCAGAGCCTCTAGGCCCACCCCGATAATGATTTCAATCGCCTTGTTTCGACCTTAGGAATCTTCCGTTAAGCTGAATGCCGTTCTTATTGAAACAACCAAAATTTAGCACAATAAATCTGCAATTTTGAATTGATTAAATAATTTCTTTATTATTATAACGTATCTTTTTCTAGATTTTGATATCGAGAGATACTGTATGAGAAATCGTCCATTTAATCTCAAGTGCTGTTGAAATCAACTTCATCACTTTCCATTTCTACCGGTAAATTAACTAATTACGCCACTCTTCAACCTTTATTCCTTTCTTCTGAATTGTCTCGTTATTAAATAATATTTTCGTCGGCGCCATCACAAAAGAAATTAACGAGAATTTCGCTTAAGTGGGGACCCCTCAAACCTAGAATTGGTCGACAGTCGCAACGCTGTTCCGCACACGGGATGGCGAATTAAAAAGTTTCCCCTCCGATCCGCGTATTGAGAAAAACGTGTTTGAGGTGTCACTAGAATATAATAAACTAGGCGCGATAGCCGAACTTGCGTCATATTTTTTAAACTTCGCGGAAGTTTCGAGTAGATACGCTACAAGTCGCCGGGAAGCGGCATATAATTTCCCAACTTTAAAATTTTGCAAGGTACGCTTTTTTGAGGAGCTCTGATGAATGGTTGGGTTCTTTACGGTGTCGCTTATCAAGTTCCGAGCAAAGTTTAAAATTTCCTGAACAAAATCGCGTTACACATAGCAATTATTATTAATATACAGGGATCCCCGATTTGTCCCGTTAACCCAGTGAATAAAAAACAAATGAAGGTCAAATGTGTCTTGCTCAGATCTTAAAAATACACATATTTGGATACTAGATACAATCTCCTCAACATTGTTAATGATCTACGATTTTTTTTTAAATTAATTGCATTGGCTCTTTTATTTGAAATCTAACAAAATGACCTTCTGTAAAGATCTGTCCATATTTTTTATAATCAAATCTATATGAGAATAGTTTCAATACAACTGCTCTAAGTCACGTGATCTAGGATTCTGGATTCTTATACGTTATTTGAAAGTTCAATGCCGACCTGATTGCAATAAACTTAAAAATGATCTAAGTCACGTGACCCTTTTGCGTTCACTTTACGAATTGGATCTCTCTTTCTCTAGATTACAATCAGTCACTACCAGATCTATATCTTTCTGCATAAAGTTAGGTTAGGTTAGGTCAGGTTAAGTTTTTTTATAATAATATGTCATTTGCTGCGTTAAATTATAAAAATAGGCTACTGTTGACCAAATGCACATATCAGTTGATTAAATATAAATATTTTTATTTCTTTTTACCAAATGTCACTTTTAATCGTTCTGCTGCCTATGAAAATAAATTTGCGGTACTTAGTAACCTTATTTCCGGTGATGGCAGACAAACGAGAGAGGACGACGCGGTTACGTCACGAAGTGGACATAGCCAAGGAATAATACACTAAATAAATAAATGTTTTCTTCTTTCTGAAAATGTGTTTTAAAAAAAAATTTTCTGTTCATGTTTAGCACCCTCATAAGTTGCTGGGTAAGATTTTATGCATTTCTGAGAGTTTTACCAAGATTTAAAAAAATTGCTAATACAATTTTTGCAAAATTGACATCCAAATTCCTAGCAATTTTGAGGAAGATATCTTCTCCAAATATGCACAATTTTGAGGTTGATTTAATAAAACATGTTTGAAATTGATTATTTGTTTTTTCTTACTGCATTGATGGCCTGCACCAATAAACAGGGACGCCCTGTTGCTATGTTTAGAAAGTTTTGATCTGTCAATTAAAGAAATAAAAGACAAAACAGACGTTCTTTGCTTGCAGTGTAGTTAATTGTAGAAGTTAAATTTCAGCTATTCAGTCAAAGTGTAATTAATTTTTTCACTCGCGGTTGGCTACGATGTGCCTTTAATACCCGCGAAAGGCCGGCAAGTTGTAAATAATGAATTGCCTCAACCGGCTGTCAAAACAGTTAACTTGCAAAAGCTGCTCGACTCGGTACTGCTCGTAGGTGTTTCAAACAGAATGTTTAATAACTCTCCGATATTGTTTCCTTGCAGTAAGTTTTGTTTCAAGTTAAAATTAATTTTAAAATTTAATTAAGTACACTGTATTGCTTTAAATATACAGGGTGTTTCATAGATACGGTCCGTAACTTAAGGACACAATTTCTTATGGTATTTAAAGAAAAAAAGTTCCTATGAACGTGTGGACGGAAACGCTTAGATTCCGAGATACAGGGTGTTGAAAATTTTAAAAAGTATATTAATATTTGAAATAAATTTGGAACAATCATATTTGAAATTATTCAATTTGGACAGGACATAGCTAATACAATGCGAAACATCGCCATAATGTTAAAAATGCTGTCACCGCCGTTCTTGGTGGTGAATATTCGAAATATTTGAAATTATTCAATTTTCGTGGTTGAAAACAGTATTGCATTGTCGAAATCAAGAGAGTTGCACGAACAAAATTTGGACAGGACATAGCTGATCCAATGCGAAACACCGAGGGGTAAACCGCTGAAGAAGTTTTTGTACATGTCCCCAGGAAGTCGGGAAGAAGTTAGAGGAAGTTATAAGGAAGTTAAGAAAGTTGAAAGGAATTCCGAAGGAAGTCGTAGAAGTTTTTAGGAATTCCAAGGAAGTTGAGGAAGTCTGGAGGAAGTTTGGAGGAAGTCGGGAAGTTGGAACCAAACTGCGCATGCGTGAACGGTAAACGCATGC